GGGGGGGGGCTTTCACCCCTCCCACCCCTGTGACACAGCCGCGGCCTGACACACCGGTCACACGAGTGGCACAGCCGCGGTGACAGCGGCGACAGGAATGGCCTCGTGACCCCGCCGCCTCATCAGTGAAACGAGCTCGGGCGGCCTCAGCCGCCCCCGGGCCTTTCCCTTCGGGATCTTCCCGGGGGATCCCGGGGGACAGCGCGACCCCCGCACCCCGAGCTGAGACCCCACAGCTGGGGGGACTGGGACAGTCGCATTTTGGGCCACCCAGAGGGTGTTGTCACCCCCTTGTCCCTTGGGACCCCCAGGACACGCTGCCGGGACTGTCACACGCGCCCGTGCCTCAGTTTCCCCCGCAACCAAAACCCCAAAGGAGGGCACAGGGCACGTCCCCAAGGCACGCGACACTCTGGGATGGCCACCGTGTCCCCAGCCGGGGCTCGCCGTGTCCCAGCCGGGCAGGACGGGCCTGGCTCCCTGCCGGGGCCACCCCGTGCGACACCGGGGACACGGCGAGCTCCGGTGAGCTCGGGATGCACCGGAGCCGCTCCCCGACCGCCCCCCCCCCGCGGGTTCCGCCTCCGGGAGGGATCCCGGGGAGCCCCCGGTGCCCACAAAGGGGGGACCCCACCGGCCTTGTCCTTGTCCCCACCCCGGGAGGACGGAGGGAATTCCTCCCCCCGCGGCCGGGGGAGGGGATGGGGGCGCGGGGCTCCCCCACCCCCGCGGGCAGCCCCGCTTCCCACGGCCGCGGTTTCTGCGCGGGTGGGGGAAGCTCCAGCCCCGAGCCGGGGGGGGGGGCCGTGCCTCAGTTTCCCACGGAGCTCAGCGCACCTCGTGGGTGTTTTCCTTGGAAAAACCCTTTTTCAGAGAAGGGTGGGGTGGGAATTTCTCCTCCAGCCGCAGCAGCGAGGCCACACACGGGTGGGAACCCCCGGCCCTATCAAAGGCCCCCGCAGCGTGCGGAGCCCCCAGGGGAGGTGGAGCCCACCCCAAAAACCCACCCAGGAAGCGCCGATTCCACTCCCGCTCCCTCGGGAACGGCTCCAGCAGAGCACAGGGAAGAGCAAACACCAGTAACGTCAGACATTTTATTGCAAATAAATTCAGTTCCTCGCTCGGTAGAAGAATAAACTCTGGAAAAGGTTCAGCTCAGGGTCTCCAAGTGCAAAAGCAGCACCCGGGGGGTGCAGGTCCATCCGTGCAGACGTCCGTAATTCCTTGGAAAAAGCAGTTTTTTGCATTAAAAAAAAAAAATTAAAAATCCAGCCCTCTGCAATGCTCGCCTCCATCGGGTCCCAGCTGCCAAAAATCGCGACAGTTTCCAGCTCCGGGGTCACTCCCCGCGCTCCGCAGCGCCCGCCCGGGGCTCTCCGGCTCCGGTCCACGCTCCAGCACAGCTCCTCGGCCGGCGGCTCCGTCCAGCGTCCACCCGGGCTCCGGCCAGTGTCCAGTGTCCACCCGGGCTCCGGCCAGCGTCCATCCAATGTCCACCCGGGCTCCGGCCAGCGTCCATCCAATGTCCACCCGGGCTCCGGCCAGCGTCCATCCAATGTCCACCCGGGCTCCGGCCAGCGTCCATCCAATGTCCACCCGGGCTCCGGCCAGCGTCCAGCGTCCACCCGGGCTCCGGCCAGTGTCCAGTGTCCCCCGCCGGGCTCCGGCCAGTGTCCCCTCCATTCCCACCGCAGCAGCCGCGCTCCCCCTTCCTCCTCTCCGGTTCAAAAGAAAAATAAAATCGGTGGGTTTTGGGCGTTGTGGGTTAGAACTGGCTGGCTTTTTTGGGTTGGGTTGGTTTATTTTTTTTTTTTTTTAAGGTTTCCAATCCTCCGAGTCCAGGCCGGGCAGGGGCCGGGAGGGGCTCAGCGCTCCTGCAGACAGACGAACGGCACCCACTGGTTCCTGTCGCGACTCTCGGCGCAGTAACTCGCCACCTCCGCCAAGCCCTGACTCTTCCAGGCGTCCGTGTGCGAATTCTGGGGGAAGCAGGAGCACGAGGTTAGTGCCACCAGCGCCCCGACACGTGTCCCCGAGCCGCCCCGTCACCCTCCCCGGCCCCTGGCGCGGCGCCCGGCGGAATCACGGGGCCAGCGGCGCGTCCCCGCCGTGCTCACCGTGACCAGCAGGCAGTGCAGGTCGCGGGGCTCGGAGTCCGCCTCGGGCTCGCCCAGGATGGCGGCGAGGCGCTGCATGCCCGACACGCGCAGGATGTGGATGTCGTTGTCGCAGCAGAACGCCTGGATGAGCGTGAAGTGGATCTGCAGGGCGATGTCGCCTTCGTCCTCCTCGTCGGTGGCCAGCACGCACAGCACCACGCTGTCGGGGTCCCTGCGGGGGCGGCGAGGGTTAGGGGCGACAGGGACACCTCGGGATGGTGTCACCCCCCCCCCACCGTGTCACCTCCCTGTCACCAAATTTACCACCCCGTAAAACGCTCCAGCCCTGCGCTAAGAGAGCCGGGATGAACCGCGCCACGCCAGCCAGACCTCCCCCGGCGACAGAGCCCCCGACAGAGCCCTGTCGCGATACTCACACATTCATCAGCTTGGCCGACTCGTAGACCCCCACGGTGAGGCGGTCCTGCCGCTGCGCCGCCACCAGCACCCGCTCCACCGCCTCGCTCACCGCCTGCATCCTGTCGGGAGGAACGGCACGGCCGGTGAGCGGCGACGGCGACAAGCGCAGAACCCCCGCCCAACGCCCCGAGCCGCCCGCCACTTACTTGCTGCTATCGCAAGGCACCAGCTCCTCCAGGGTCATGGTGCAATTGTAATCCGCAGGAGAAGAAGGCAAACTCCAAGGGCAATAATCCCGAGCGCGGCTACCGCGGGGGTATCGCGGAGCTATCGCGGCGCTATCGCGATCCCCGGTCCCGCTCCGCTCCCGCCGCCGCTCCAGCACGATCGCTCTGAGCCCCGGCCGCGCCCTGCGCCGCCTTTTATAGCCTCCCGCCGCGGGGCGTGGCCTCTCGCGGCGCCCCCGCCTCGCCCATTGGCTGACGCCGCGAGGAGCCGCCCACGAGCGCGGCGCGGATTGGGCGCCGCCGGCGGGGCCCACGTGGGGGTGAAACGCGGGGGGGGGAGCGCGGGGGAAACCCCCGCCCTGAAACTGCGCCCCCCCCGCGGGACGGGCGTGGGACCGGCGGGAGCGGGGGGCACCGGGGTCCGTCCGTGGGACCGGGACCCGCTCCGGGGGTCGGTTCTTGCTCCGGGGGTCGGTCGGTGCACCGGGGGTTGCACCGGGGGTCGCTCCGTGGACCGGGGGTCGCTCCGGAGGTCGTTTCTTGTACCGGGGTTTGCACGGGGGGTCGGTCAATGCACCGGGGGTCGATGCGTGGGACCGTGGGCTGCACCGGGGGTCGCTCCGTGCACAGGGGGGGTCGGTTCGTGCAACTGGGTTTGCACCAGGGGTCGGTCGGTGCACCGGGGGTTGTACCGGGGGTCGGTCGGTGCAACGGGGGGTGATCGGTAGGACCGGGGGCTGCACGGGGGTTCCTCCGTGCACAGCGGGGGCCGCTCGGTGGGACACGGGGCTGCACAGGGGGGTCGGTCCCTGGGACCGGGGACTGCTCCGAGGGTCTGCTCTTGCACCGGGGGTCGCTCCGGGGGTCGGTCGGTGCAACGGGGGGTGATCGGTAGGACCGGGGGCTGCACGGGGGGGTCGGTCCCTGGGACCGGGGACTGCTCCGAGGGTTTGCTCTTGCACCGGGGGTCGCTCCGGTGGTCGGTCGGTGCACCGGGGGTCGCTCCATGCACAGGGTGGGGGGTCGGTTCGTGCACCGGGATTTGCACCAGGGGTCCGTCGGTGCACCGGGGGTCCGTCGGTGCACCGGGGGTCGGTCGGTGCACCGGGGGTCTCTCCGGGGGTCGGTCGGTGCACGGGTCGGCCCCTGACACCGGGGGCTTTTCCAGGAGCCCGTTCGTGCACAGGGGTCTGCACGGCGGGGGTCGCTCCGTGGGACCGGAGCTGCACCGGGGGTCGGCGGCTGCACCGGGGGCTTTGTGCGTGGAGCGGGGGCTGTACCGGCGGGCCGCTCCGTGCACCGGGGGCTGCTCGTTGACCAGGGGGTCGGTCCGTGCACCAGCGGCTGCCCTGTGCCGTCGGTCCGTGCACCGGGGGCGGCAGCGGGGGTCGCTTCGTGGGCGGTGGAACGGTCCGTACACCGGGGGCTGCACCGGGGGTCTGTCGGTGGAGCGGGGGCTGCACCGGGGGGGCGGCAATTCACGCACCGGGCCGCGGGGGCGGTCGGTCCGTGCACCGGGACGTGCAGGCGGGGGCGGGAGGGGTCGGTGCGCTCAGAGCCGGGGGAAACGGGGACACGCGGGGAGCTCGGTGCTGCGCGGGCGGCGGCCGCCACCTGCCGGGGACACACCGGGGAGCGCTCCCGCTGTCCCGGGCCCTGGCACACCGGGGTGGCCTCACCTTGGCCCCGGGTCCCGCAGCTGCAGGGCCGGACCGGTCCGTGAACCCCCGGGGGGTGGGGGTCGCGGGAGGTGCCCACGCCGTGCCTCAGTTTCCCCCTGCCGCGTCCTGAGCCGTATTTCCCCGCTGCCCCCGCCCACGGCGGTGCTGGGGCTCTGTGCGTGTCCCCGCTGTTCCCTGTCCCCTCTCGGTGTCCCCGCTGTCCCCGGTCCCCTCTCGGTGTCCCCGCGAAGCGCCCCCGTGTCCCCCGCCCCAGGTCCGAGCGAGGCCGCGCTCCGGCTCCGAGTCCTCCGAGCCAGCAGGCGACGCTGTCGCCGCCCTCTCTATGCCCCGCCGCAAAGCCTTCTGGGAAGTGTAGTCCTGGAAAGCCCAGCCTTTCCCGCGCCATTAATGAAGACTACATTACCCAGAGGGCTTTGTGCTCATGGGTGGGCGGAGCCTCGGCGTGTGGGCGGGGCGCGGTGCGGTCAAACCGGGACCGGGACCGGGACCGGGACCTGGGCTGGAATGGGGCCGGGCTGGGGGTCACCGAACCGGGACCAGACCGGGTGGGGGGAGCCGGAACTGAGCTGGAGCAGGGTCAGGGACCACCGGACCGGGTCTAGAAGCCACCGGACCGGGACCGGACCGGGACTGGGGAGTTGCGCTGGACCGGGCCGGGGGCAGCGGGCCCGGCGGCCGTCGGGGCTCGCCGCGCTCCGGTCCTGCCGGTGTCCCCGGGGCTGTGTCTGGGGGGATCCTGTGAGCTTTGGGGACCCCTGGGGACCGGGGGGTGGTGGGACACGGAGGGACCAGACAGGGATGGAACGGGAGCGGAGAGCCCCGCTGGGGGCTGGAGAGCCTGAAGGGCTGTGGGACAGCAGAGCGACAGCTCCCCTGTGTCCCCTGGCTGTCCCCACGGCTGTCCCCTGTCTGTATTCCCTATCTGTCCCTCTGTCTGTCCTTCTGTCTGTATTCCCTGTCTGTCCCTCTGTCTGTCCCCCTGTCTGGATTCCCTGTCTGTCCTTCTGTGTGTCCCCCGTCTGTCCCCTTGTCTGTCTCTCTGTCTGTCCCCCCGGCTGTTCCCTGTCTGTCCCTTTTGTCCCCTGTCCGTCCCCTTGTCTGTCCCGTTTCCGTCCCCCTTTCCATCCCCTGTCTGTCCCCTTGGCTGTCTGTCTGTCCGTCCCCCGGCTGTTCCCTGTCTGTCCCTTTTGTCCCCTGTCCGTCCCCTTGTCTGTCTGTCTGTTCTCTTGGCTGTCTGTCTGTCTGTCCCCTTGGCTGTCTGTCTGTCCCCTGTCTGTCCCCTTGTCTGTCTGTCTGTCTGTCCCCTTGGCTGTCTGTCTGTCCCCTGTCTGTCCCCTGTCTGTCCCCCGTTCGTTCCCGGTGCCGCCGTTCGTGCCCCCCGTGTCCCCCCGGCTCTGCGCTGTCCGGGCCGAGCCCGGTGTTTGTTTGCTCACGGAATTGGCAGCGGCTGCGGCCCGGGGGGGGTCACCGGGGGGTCCCTGCCTGGGCCCGGTGCTGACGTCCGTCCCTGGCCGCTGGCTGGTGGCCCCGGTGTCCCCAGGGATGCCGTGTCCCCCCCGCGCCCGGTGACGGTGCCGGATTTTGGGGGGACACAGGCGCCCCGTGTGCGTCACCGCACGTTCGGGGGTGGCCGGGAGGGGGGGAATAAAACCGAGCCCGGCACATCCCGGAGCATCGGGGGCGCCGCCGGCACCGGGAGCATGGAGAGCGCTCGGCTCTGCCTGCTCTGCCTGCTGGGCTCCGGCCTCATCCTGCTCGGGACCCCCGAAGCGGCCGCGGAGCCCACCCTGAGCCTGCCCGGGCACGGCCGGGAGGAGCCGGAGCTGGTGAGGGGCTGGGGGAGCGGGGCTGGGGGTCCCCAGCGCCCCCCGCGCGGGTTTGGGGCGTTTCGGGGTGTTCCTGCTCCCCCCAGCCCGGTTTGCTGGGGGGAGGCCGTGGGGAATTGGGGAGGGGGCAGCCGGGACCCCTGCCCCGGTTTTGTGCTGCCGCCCGGCCCTGGGGGGGCTCCGGCACCGGGGACATCCCGCAGCACGCGGGGGTCGCCGCTTTGGGGGGTTTTGGTTGTTTTTTCCTTCCCTGGCCCATCCTGAGCTCCGGCTGAGCTGCGGGGAGGGCGGTGGGGAGCGGGGGGGGCGTGGGGCCGCACCCTGAGGACAGACCCCCGACCCCCGGTGCTGCCCCAGCCCCGATTCCCGGCCGGGATGAGCCAGGAACAGGAGGGGGATGGGACAGGAGCCTGGGGGGCTCGGGGTGACACCGATTCGGGGCTCCGGGGTGTCCTGGGAATTGGGGGTGACACGGATCCAGAGCCCCCGGATGCCCCGGGAATTGGGGGTGACACGGATTCGGAGCCCCGGGGTGTTCCAGGAATTGGGGGTGCCCCTCTAGATCCCTCGGGTGCCCCGCGAATTGAGGGTGACACAGATCCAGAGCCCCCTGGTGCCCCGGGAATTGGGGGTGCCTCTCGGGGGGCGTGGGGGGCGTGGGGCCGCACCCTGAGGACAGACCCCCGACCCCCGGTGCTGCCCCAGCCCCGATTCCCGGCCGGGATGAGCCAGGAACAGGAGGGGGATGGGACAGGAGCCTGGGGGGCTCGGGGTGACACCGATTCGGGGCTCCGGGGTGTCCTGGGAATTGGGGGTGACACGGATCCAGAGCCCCCGGATGCCCCGGGAATTGGGGGTGACACGGATTCGGAGCCCCGGGGTGTTCCAGGAATTGGGGGTGCCCCTCTAGATCCCTCGGGTGCCCCGCGAATTGAGGGTGACACAGATCCAGAGCCCCCTGGTGCCCCGGGAATTGGGGGTGCCTCTCTGGAGCCACGGGTGTCCCGGGAATTGGGGGTGCCCCTCTGGATTCCCGGGGTGTCCCGGGAATTGGGGAGCCCCTTTGGAGCCCCGGGAATTGGGGGTGCCCCTCTGGATTCTCGGGGTGTCCCGGGAATTGGGGACCCCTCTGGAGCCCCGGGAAATGGGGGTGGGTGCCCCTTTGGATTCCCGAGGTGTCCCGGGAACTGGGGTGCCCCTTTGGAGCCCCGGGAATGGAGCCCCGGGAATTGGGGGTGCCCCTCTGGATTCCCGGGGTGTCCCGGGAATTGGGGAGCCCCTTTGGAGCCCCGGGAATTGGGGGTGCCCCTCTGGATTCTCGGGGTGTCCCGGGAATTGGGGACCCCTCTGGAGCCCCGGGAAATGGGGGTGGGTGCCCCTTTGGATTCCCGAGGTGTCCCGGGAACTGGGGTGCCCCTTTGGAGCCCCGGGAAGTGGGGAGCCCCTCTGGATTTCCGGGGTGTCCCGGGAACTGGGGAGCCCCTCTGGGTCCCCGGTGTCCCGGGAACCCCCCTGGCTGTCCGCGGCAGGCCGAGCCGCTCCGGGCGCTGCTGGACGAGCCGGCGCTGGAGAAGAGGCTGAGCTGGGTGCCCTGGGTACGGCGGGGCTGGGGGCGGCCCTGGCGGTTCGGGGGGACCCCCAAACCCCCCCTTTGGTGGGGGTCCGGCCCCGGGGCTGACGGTGCCGCCCGCAGTGCGAGCCCCGGGAGCCGTGCGCGGTGCGGCGCGGGGCGCGCTTCGGGAAGCTCTGCAGCTGCCCCCGCGGCTCCTCCTGCAACCTCCTCATCCTCAAGTGCTCCTGAGCAGCGGGGACACCGCGGGACACCGGGGGACACCGGGGGACACCAGCTGCTCGGGCGGGGCAGGGAGGGGGAGCCGCGGGTCCCAGCCCCCTCCCCGCACCGGGATGGACCCGCACGGATCCTGGCGGTGTCCAGGGATGCATTAAACCATTGGATCCGCGCCTGCCGCCTGATTTTTGGGGGGACTTTGAGGTGCTGAGGGGGGGAGGGTCCCATCCTGTCCCCCTCCCCTGTCGGGAATCCGAGGTTGGGGCGGGAATGGGGGACAGGGAGTGGGAATCTCATCCCGCTGTGGCAGAGGGGGTGCGGGAATGGGAGCGCTGCGGGGACGGGCGGGGAGCTGAGCCCGGGATCCTCCCGTGGTCGCGGTACCGGGGATTCCCGAGCCGCTGGAGGAGGATGGGTGGAGGATCCGCGGGATGCGGGGGGCTCATCCAGCCCGGCCCGGCTGCATCCCCATCCAGAATTCCAAATCCCCATCCAGAATCCCATCAAATTCCCATCAAAATCTTGGCTCCCCATCCAGAATCCCGCATCCCCATCCACGATCCCACACCTCCATACAGAATCCCGCATCCAGCATTCCAAATCCCCATCCAGAATCCCGCATTCCCACCAAAATCTTGGCTCCCCACCCAGAACCCCGCATCCCCATCCACGATCCCGCATCCCCATCCAAACCCACCCCCCTGCATTCCCCCGCACCACCCGCGCGGACCCCACCCTCTGCCCCACCCCGCGCGTTGCCCCTTTAAGAACCCTCTCTCCCACCTCCGCTCCGCCCACCCGCCTCCCCTCCGGCCCCTCCCATTGGCTGGCGGTGACATCAGTGGGTGTGTCCTGACCGGCGGTGACGCAGGGGGCGTGGCCAGCGGGGCGGGCGGGGGGCGCCGAAGATGGCGGCGGCTCCGGTGGCTCCGGCGGCTCCGGCCCCTCCGGCCGCGGGGCCGCGCCGCTTCTCGCTGCTCGCCATCGTGGGCGGCGGCTGCCACCGGCCCGGCCTCAGGGCCGCCGCCCTGCAGCAGCTGGAGCGAGGTGAGACCGCGCGATGCTCCGGGGGCTCCTCCCGGACCCGCCCGCCCCCACCGGAGGAGCCCCCCCGGGGATGCCCCGCTCGCTCCGGGCTGCGATCGCCGCTCTGGGGCTGCCCTGTCCCGCCCCAGACCGCCGGGATCCGCCCGTCTGGGTTCCCGGGGTGTGCGCCCCGAAATTCCCGGGATTTGCCCCATTTCCTGCCCTCCCCCCTCCCCCATCCCGGGGTCCGCGCCCTCTCCGCCCCCCGAGCCCCGGTAAAATCCTAGATCCGGTAAAATCCCAGATCCGGTAAAATCCCAGATCCGGTAAAATCCCAGATCCGCCCCTTTTTGCTGCCCCAAACCCTCGGCGATCCGCATCCTCCTTTCTTTCAAAGCCTCCAGGATTTGCTCCTCCTGGATTTACCCCCCCACCCCAGGATCTTTCCCTGCCCCCCTGAATCCCCCGGATCTGCCCCCAAATCCCCCGGATCGACCCCACAATTTTATAGAGACCCCCTCCTCCAGCCCCCACACCCCTCCCTGAGCCCTGCCCTGATTTTGGGGAGGGGTCTCAGGACCCCGCAGCGGGAGCAGATCCCAAACCCATCACGGCAGGGACATTCCCCGCTCCATTGTCCCCTCCCTGTGTCCCAAACCTCACCAAAACCCCCCCAAAAACGGCCCCAAAGCCTTGTGCAACCCCGGGCCGGTTACACCATCCCCCACCCATCCTCTGGCCGTTACCGGCAGCACCCGGAGCCACCCAAAATTTTTGGGAATAAACTCCCAAAAATCCCTTCTGGGAAGTCCCGAAGGGCTGTTCAGGTGTTGCACCTGTGCCGGTGCTGCTGACAGGTAGCTCCAAATCTTTTTTAATTCCTTAATTGGCACCTTTGAGGAGGTGTTGGCAGAGCTGCTCCGTGCCCCGGGGGGTTGGGATTTGGGATTTGGGATTTGGCAGAGCCGGGGCTGACTCACGAGGAGCTCACCTGGCGGGCAGGTGTTGCTTGGAGGGACCCCAAAAACACCTTGGGGGGGATTTTAGGGGGGATTTTATGGGGTCAGCCCCAAATCAGAACCGTGGGGGGTTTGGGTTCTGAGCCCCCCAAATCCCAAATTTTTCTTTGGGGTTTTTTTTCTCCTCAGGGATCCGCTCGTGGGACATCGACCTCACCTGCTGCAACCTGGACGAGCAGCTGAAGCTCTTCGTGTCCCGGCACTCGGCCACCTTCTCCAGCATTGTCAAAGGTAAAAAACGGGATAAAAACCGGGGAAAAGGGGGGGGAAAGCTGCCAGGGAGGGGTGGGAGTGGGGGTTGGGATCAGGGACGCCCCCTCCCCGTTCACTCCTCCCAGGTTTTGTGGGAACAGGCCTGGCTTTGTGCCCACCCCCCATCCAAACCCCGTGATCCCCCACGTGAGGAGCCACTTCCTTTTCCAGCCTGGAAAAATGGGATTTTCCACGGGAAGAACGGAGCTGGGGCTGCTGCGGTGCCTTTCCCCCCACACCCAGCTGGCTCCCTGCTGGGTGTTTCCCTGCTCAGAGGGGGAAATGAACCCCAAAACCCCCCTGGGAGCACCCAGAGCGTTTGGGGGGGGGTCTCCCCCACCTGTCCCTCCCTTCCCTGGGCAGGAAGGACACGGGAAGTGTGTCCCTGGCCCTGCGTGTCCGTGCTGTCCCTCTTCCGCCGGAAAACCGGGCAGCTCCTGGCCGTGCCACCCCCTTGGGGACAATCTGGGGGGGGTGTGGCTGTCACCTCTCTGTCCCCACAGGTCAGAGGACCCTCCACCACCGCGGGGATGTGCTGGAGACCCTGGTGCTGCTCAACCCTTCCGACAAGTCCCTGTGTGACGAGGTGAGCTGGGGACGCTGCTGGCCCCGGGGTTGTCCCCGCGGTGTCCCCTGTGTCCCCACGGTGTCCCCTCTGTGCTGATGTCCCCCCCGCCCCATCTCTGTCCCCAGCTGCGGAACCTCATCACGGACGTGTCACAGCACAAGCTGCTGGTGTTTGCTGGGCCCTGCGTGGAGGACACCGGGGAGCTGATGCTGCAGACCGGCTGCTTCTCCCTGCGGGATTTCATCCAGATCTTCACCGATAAGGAGGTCAGGGGAGGGGACAGGGGACAGGGGAGGGGACAGGGGGGATTTTGGGGTCAGAGCTGCTGCCTGAGCACGTCCAGCCAGGAGCAGCTCCTCAGGGATGGTGGCACGTCCTGCTCTCTCCTCGCAGGGGGGTCCCTGCAAGGTGTGGGGCACAGCCTGGGGGTCTGTGCCAGGAAAAGGGGCAAACCCTGGGGGATTTAGGGGAGTTTTGTGGGGCAGATCCTGGGGATTTAGGGGATGCAGGTCCTGGGGATTTAGGGGGTAGATACTGGGAGTTTTTTGGGGCAGATCCTGGGGAATTAGGGAGTACAAGTCTTGAGAATTTAGTCAGGTAGACACTGGGGATCTGGGAATGTAAATCTTGGGGGCAGACTCTGTCCCCACAGGTCAGAGGACCCTCCACCACCGCGGGGATGTGCTGGAGACCCTGGTGCTGCTCAACCCTTCCGACAAGTCCCTGTGTGACGAGGTGAGCTGGGGACGCTGCTGGCCCCGGGGCTGTCCCCACGGTGTCCCCTGTGTCCCCACGGTGTCCCCTCTGTGCTGATGTCCCCCCCGCCCCATCTCTGTCCCCAGCTGCGGAACCTCATCACGGACGTGTCACAGCACAAGCTGCTGGTGTTTGCTGGGCCCTGCGTGGAGGACACCGGGGAGCTGATGCTGCAGACCGGCTGCTTCTCCCTGCGGGATTTCATCCAGATCTTCACCGATAAGGAGGTCAGGGGAGGGGACAGGGGACAGGGGAGGGGACAGGGGGGATTTTGGGGTCAGAGCTGCTGCCTGAGCACGTCCAGCCAGGAGCAGCTCCTCAGGGATGGTGGCACGTCCTGCTCTCTCCTCGCAGGGGGGTCCCTGCAAGGTGTGGGGCACAGCCTGGGGGTCTGTGCCAGGAAAAGGGGCAAACCCTGGGGGATTTAGGGGAGTTTTGTGGGGCAGATCCTGGGGAGTTGGGGGATGCAGGTCCTGGGGATTTAGGGGATGCAGGTCCTGGGGATTTAGGGGGTAGATGCTGGGAGTTTTGTGGGGCAGATCCTGGGGATTTAGGGGATGCAGGTCCTGGGGATTTAGGGGGTAGATACTGGGAGTTTTTTGGGGCAGATCCTGGGGAATTAGGGAGTACAAGTCTTGAGAATTTAGTCAGGTAGACACTGGGGATCTGGGAATGTAAATCTTGGGGGCAGATGTTGGGAGTTGTGGGAGCAAATCCTAGGGGTGTTGGGGGAAGATTCTGGGGAGCTGAGGGCTGTGCCAGGAAAAGGGGCAAACCCTGGGGGATTTAGGGGAGTTTTGTGGGGCAGATCCTGGGGATTTAGGGGATGCAGGTCCTGGGGATTTAGGGGGTAGATGCTGGGAGTTTTGTGATGCAGGTCCTGGGGATTTAGGGGATGCAGGTCCTGGGGATTTAGGGGGTAGATGCTGGGAGTTTTGTGGGGCAGATCCTGGGGATTTAGGGAGTACAAATCTTGAGAATTTAGTCAGGGAGACACTGGGGATCTGGGAATGTAAATCTTGGGGGCAGATGTTGGGAGTTGTGGGAGCAAATCCTAGGGGTGTTGGGGGAAGATTCTGGGGAGTTGAGGGGTAGGGAAAGGAGCAGATCCTGAGAATTTAGGGGTGCAGTTCCTGGGAATTTAGGGGTGCAGTTTAATGTAATTTAGGGATGCAAATCCTGGTAATTTAGGGGGCAGATCCTCAGCTGCCAGCCCTAGGGGGCCACAGCCTCAGCCTAGGTGGGCAGTCAGGGAAAGCCCCCCCTGCCCCCAGGACCTGCCCAGCAGCAGAGGGGGCTGGCACCCCAAAATCCCCCCAAAAAGCAGGCAGCAGGTGTGGATCCAATGGTTTAATGTGTCCCTGGACACCTCCCACCCCATCCTGGTGGGCGATGGGGGTGACCCCGGCGCCCCCTCCCACCTGAAGCTGCCCCTCTGTGCAGGTGGGCGAGATCCTGAGCTCTGCAGACCCCTCGGCCAAGGCCAGGCTGACCATCAGCTGCCCCGATTTCGGGGAGTGGAGGGACTCGGGCTTGGAGCACCACAACCTGCAGGACTTCATCGAGCTGC